TCTGTAGCCCCAGCTGTCCTGGAACTCACTATGTAGACCAGGCTGGCCTTGCACTCACAGAGATCTGCCTACCTCTGCCTCCCAAGTGCTGAGATTAAAGTCGTGTACCACCATGCCCAGCTAGAGTTAAAGATTTTTAAAATTTATTTTTATTTATGCATTATGTGCCTGCTTGTCTGTATGTGTGCCATGTATATGCAGGTGCCCTTAGAGGCCAGAAGAGGGCACTGGAACTGTGGAACTGAGTAACAGGCAGTCAAGTTCTTTACTCTGTTTGCCAGCCCTTTTTCTGTGTTATATGCTGCAAATACCTTCTTCAGATGGATAGCTTGCCATTTAACTTCCTTCTGGTGTTTTCTTTGCATCTTTGGTGTGGGTGCACACGTGTGCTTGTGTGTGTGAGTGTGGGTGCATGTGTGCTATGGCATGCATGTGGAGGTCAGTGTCAGGTGCCCCTCCCCACGCTTTTCACCTTGTTTAGGACTGACAGCTGTGTTTACCTCCCATCTTGTCTTGGAACACTGGAATTAAAGATGCATGCCACTGTGCCTAGATTTTATGTGGGTTCTGGGAATCCAAAGCCAGGTCCTCATGGTTGGACAGTAAGCACCTTACCCACTGAGCCATCTCCCTAGCTCACTTCTGGTGTTCTTGATGAAAAAAGTCCTTAGTTATGAAATTTTTTATTTTACTTTTGTATAGTTTGACCTTTTTTTCTTAGTGTATTTTATTCAAGAAACTATTTGCTGCCAGAAGTAAAAAATATTGTCTACTGTGCTTTGAATATTTTGTAGTTTTATCTTGTCCATTTAGTTTTTGTTTGTTTGTTGAGACAAGGTCTCCCAGTAGCCCCATTTGGCCTGGAACTCACCAGGCTGGCCTCCATCTCACAGAGATCTACCTGTCTCTGCAACACTACCCCTGGCTAGTTATTTATTTTTTAACTCTACATAAATAAATTTTTTCTGAAAATCAGTTTAGCTTTCTTGTAAGTTTCATGTTTTTTTAAAAAAACATATCTTGGTGGGATTTTTCTTTGTATATGGTCTTCTTGGAGTTGAATATCTTGAATCTTTTATTAGTATCATTAATTTAAAACTTTTAAAAATGATTTATGTTTATGGATGTTTTGCCTGCATGTATGTAAGTGTACCTATGTGTGCAATCGTCTTGGAAACCAGAAGAGGGTATTGGATCCCCTGGAAGTGGAGTTACAGATGCCGCCATGTGGGTGCTAGAAATTGAACCTGGGTCCTCTGCAAGAGCAGCTAGTGCCCTTATCTGCTGAGACATCTTTCCAGCTCTAGAAGCATATTTTAAGACATTTTCTACTTCAAGTTTTCAAATGTGCAGCACAAGTTCATAAATAGGATCCTATCTTTTTGATATTTGAGCATACAGAGTTCTTTTCCTTTTTAGTACTTGTTCATCTTTTTTTCTTGATCTTAGTTAATCTTACCAGAGTTAGTCACATGCCAGTTCTACTAGTCTTAAAAAATATAATATTTAGCTTTGATCACTTTTATCTCATAATTTTTATAATTTTACTTTTTTAAATTTAGTATTATTGTGGGGAGGGGTAGGCATGCCACATTGTGCATGTGGATGTTAGAAGACAACTTTGTAGAGCCGGTTCTCTCCTTCCATATTTTTGTCGATTCTGGGGATTGAACACAAGTCACTAGGCGGGCATGGCAGGCACTGTTATTGGCTGAGCCATCTCATCTATCTCCTATCTTTAAAAAATTAAAAAATTTTTATGTGTATGAGTGTTTGGCCTGCATGTATATAAGTGCACCATGTCTGTGCAGTGTCCTTGGAGGCCAGAAGAGGGTTGTTAGTCACCATGTGGCTGCTGGAAACCAAACCACGTTCTCTGTAAGAGCAGTCAGTGCTCTAAACTGCTGAACTGTGTCTCCAGCCCCTGTCTTGTTTTTTAATTAATGAATTGTTCTGCCTTAAAAATTATTTCCTTCAGCTGGGCATGGTGGTCCACACCTTTAATCCCAGCACTCAGGAGGCAGAGACAGGCAGATCTTTGTGAGATCAAGTTCAGCCTGGCCTATAGAGCAAGTTCCAGGCCAGCTGGGGCTACTGAGAGACTCTGTTTAAAAACAAACAAACAAACAATGAACAAAACCAAAATTATTTCCTTCTATTATCTTTGAGATTATTTTGTTGTGGTGTGTCCCCCTCCTCCATTCCTCCTCTTTCTTCTGTCTTTCTTCAGTTCCACTTGCAGTGTAGGCTGACCCTGGAGCTCATTCTTCTTCCTTTGCCCCCTCAACATTGGAGATAGGTAGACCTTTTTCTTTATTTTTTATAGTTAGTCTGTAACTTGTGAAAACTTGTAAAGTTCATGTGTGGATACTTCTTTGATCCCTTTAACCCTAATGTTATGGGAAAATATCATTTTTCCAATTGCAGGTAGCCTGTTCTTCAATGATAGAATTGATTTAGTCAGTTATGGCTAGAACCTTAAAAAAAAAAAAAAAAAAAAGTCCGTTCCATGTGCTGTGGCTAATACTGTGTACTTAAGTGTCATTCTGTGAAGCATTATTACAAACACATGCACTCACACTTGTCCATATTGGACCACATTATAAAATGGGTTTCATATTGTGGATTTTAGGTTAAAAAGTTAGAAACCCACTGTGTTAAAAGGTACTTTTTAAAATGAGCAGAAGTTTCAAACCTGAGTGTACAAAATGAACAGCTTGCTCAATGGCGGATTTTAGACTTACTAGGTACAAGCTGCATTGGTGGGTCAGTGAGTCCCTGGGCTTCTTGCCCATGGTGTTTGGGAAGCACTGATTTAGTGTGTAAGTGGACCTAGGAAGCTTACTGGCAAGGCTTACCTATGGGCTGGTAGAATGCAGTCCTGTCTCAACTCTTCCCCTCTACAGATTCGGGGAGGGAGGCACCCAGAGAGGCAGTGAAACCACATCACAGAGTGCAGGGGGAGGTTGGGGACAGGTGGGAATGTCCTGCTAGCTGTCAGACTGGCAGAGAAATGAACAACTTTTTAATCCCCTAATGGAGTCAAGCAGTGTCCCTTGAGTGGCTGACACCTGCACCATGATCATCTTGGAGCCTTAAATGGATGAACTTCCACACATTGGCCTATGATAGGCTAATTCCGCAACATGTTCTGGTTCATGGTCTCAGAGACTCAAGTGAAATCACTTTTGACAGTGGCACATCTTCCCCACAACCAGCAGTGGTTTAAATATTCAAGGCTGTACAGTCCTCATGTGTGGCCAGTGATGCGGTGAGTTCCAGTTAGCCAAAGTGAAGATGGTTGGTCTGCCCTGTGAAGGCCTCTGAGCCTTTGAGTTACTTCCCTCTGAGGTCAGAAACCTCAGTGAGTGGGATGAGGCCATCTATAGTTTGGGACTTGGAGGTGTAATGCCAAAGTGCTCATTGCAATCACCTGGTCAGTCTCTGGCAGCTGTCCTTCACACTCAGGCTCTGCCTTCATCCCCAGAATGTGCGCATGAGCTGTGGGAAGCTGATCTAGTAAGCACCTTAAGTTATGGTCTGCAGTGCAGTTCTAGTAAGCACCTTAAGTTATGGTCTGCAGTGCAGGTCTAGTAAGCACCTTAAGTTATGGTCTGCAGTGCAGGTCTACCTTTGCAGCTGAGGACTGCATGTTCCCTTCAAGTGTCAGCCACCGTGCTTGCTGCTGGCTTCATTTTCCTATTGCTGTATTGCTGTGGCTCAGAGTGACAGTGAGCACTGGTGCTTCAACAAATGTGCAGCCTTGGGTGGGGACTGCTGCTCTGTTCCCTGCTGGATGACTGGTGTTGTGCCTTCTACTGGGGACTCAAATTCCTCTGTGGTGAGAGGCCCAAGGAAGACGGAAGCTGGAGAGAGCTCAGGGCCTCAAGTCAGAATGTACTGTCTGCTACACTTCTGTGCCCAAAGCAAATCACCCACAAAGGCAGACTGGGGGTGGGGTGGGGAGGGACAGGGCTTCCACCTTTGTGTTGGAGGGGAGCTGGCCACATTCCCAGATGGGTCTTTGGGGTTAGACTCCCTGTACTGACCCTTTTCTCTCCTGTCCTCTTCCTCCTTACTCTTTCTCTTGCACTTTTTTGTTTCTCTCACCCCATTCATTCATTTGTATATTCCTTTCATTTAAATGGCCCAAGCTTCACCTTGGTTGTAAGATACTGGCTTGCATTAGATGGAAAGATGGGGACTGGTCTCTTCTTGAGTCCCCTGCACTCTCTTCCTCCCACTCTGTTCTCACCTGCATTCCCTTAGGTTTGTCTCCTTTCCCTTCCAAGTCTCTGGAAACTTCTCTAGGGTCTCTAGGGTCCACCTTACTTTCAACTTTGTCTCCTTCACAATATTTAGTAGAGGCTTGTGATGGTTAGTGAATAAATGAATGAGAACAGATTTTTTAGAGTTACAGAGCATCATTTGGTAGACTCATTTTATGTTAGACAAATGTGTCAAAATAAAATCATTATCTGTAGCTATCTTGTTTTGGACTTTTCTCCTTTGGTCAGCACCTCTTTCCCAGGACCTTGCATTTCTCTGCTTATGCCAAAAATGAATATTCACAGGGCACAGCTTTATATTGTATATTGACATTCATATTGCATATTTATGTGTAGTATAAAATATTAAGTAGATTATGTCATACATATGTATTCATACATAAAATAGATATTTGCATATATTTCCAACGTCAAAAATCCTTTTTGCCATTTCAACAAACCGTGCAAGGCAAATAAGCATATTAGAGCTGCCTGTGGTACCTCATGCTTGTTATCGTAGCACATGGGAAGTGGAGGCAAGAGGATCAGGAGTTTAAGACCAACCTTGGCTACATAGTTCAAGGCCAGCCTGAGCTATGTGAGACTTTGTCTCTCTTTAAAAACAAAGCAAAGCAAAACAAAAATAGATATATTACAGGTTGAATAGTCCTTTTAGGTTGTCACTCACTGCCCTAAATTCTTGATTTTCTTGTTTTTGTTTTTGGTGACCAGGTGTCTGAGGAGGAGGCTACCTGTGTCATTATGTGTGCGTCGGTCAAGTACAATATTCGGGGTCCTGCCCTCATCCCAAGAATGAAGACCAAGCACCGAATCTACTACATCACCCTCTTCTCCATCGTCCTCCTGGGCCTCATCGCCACAGGCATGTTTCAGTTCTGGCCCCACTCCATTGAGTCCTCCGGTGACTGGAGTGTGGAGAAGCGCAGCGTCCGGGATGTGCCGGTGGTCAGGCTGCCAGCCGAGAGCCCCATTCCAGAGCGGGGAGATCTCAGCTGCAGAATGCACACATGTTTTGATGTCTACCGCTGTGGCTTCAACCCAAAGAATAAAATCAAGGTGTACATCTACTCCCTGAAAAAGTATGTGGATGACGCAGGTGTCCCTGTCAGCAACACCATCTCCCGGGAGTACAATGAACTGCTCACAGCCATCTCAGACAGTGACTACTACACAGACGACATCAACCGAGCCTGCCTGTTTGTCCCCTCCATTGACGTGTTGAACCAGAACACCGTACGCATCAAGGAGACGGCGCAGGCCCTGGCCCAGCTTTCCAGGTACCTGACACTTAGTGACCAGAGTCCAAGGGATGTTCCAGTGGCATCAAGGGTCCAAAGGGAAGAGGAGGGGCAGGAAGGCTTCTCTTGTGCTGGCCTCCAGATGCTTCTTACAAATGTGTAAGAGACTGATGTGTAGCAGGAGGCCTGTGCTGTGAACTTCGACCTTGGTACTGCCATCTGTGGTGCTCTGTGGTGGGCTCTGGCTTCTTGGAGTTTACAAATAAGAATGGCTTTCTTCCTACACTTTGTTTAGATTTAAAGACACTGCCTTCCTACCCCGGTGACTTAGGTAATATGTGTTAGCTGTGAAAAGCTTGATATAATTCTACCCCTACGAGATAACCACTGACAATGTTTTACTGGGCTTTTCAGTCATTTTTATATTATATAAATATTTATGTATAGGTATAAGCATTTTAATCAGGAATGGCATGTGATACATATGATCTAGAAACTTCATTTCTCATTATGAATGCTCTACATTATGTTTGTGTACACATGTTCATGTGCATGTGTGCATCTGTGTGCACAGAGACCAGAGGTCAGTGTTGAGTGTCTTCCTCTATCATTCTTTACTTTTAAATTTTTATTTACTATTTTTATTTTATGTGTATGAGTGTTTTCCTGAATGTATGCAAGTACATCTGTGTCATGCAATGCCTATGGAGGTTAGATGAGGGCATCGGATCCCCTGGAACTAGAGTTATAGATGGCTGTTAGCCACCGTGTGAGTGCTGGGAACTTGAATCCCAGTCCTCTGCAAGAGCAGCCAGTTCTCTTAACTGTGGAGCTATCTCTCCAGCCTCTCTACCTTATTTTTTTGAGATAGGGTATCTCAATGAATACTGGCTGGCCAGTGAGCTGTAAGGATCCTCTGCCTCCTCAGCACTGGGGTTACAGGCATGCTCTGCCATGCCTGAGTTTTATATAGATGCTAAAATCAAACCCAGGTCCGCGTGTGACAAGCTGTTCCTGACTGAGTCATTTCCCTAGCCTCTCATAGTTTTAATAATATAATTTAAAAATATTTTATTATTTTCGTTTTATGTGTATGAGTGTATTATCTGCATGTATGTAAGTGCACCTGTGTCGTGCAATGCCTGAGGAGGTCAGATCCCTTGGAACTGGCGTTATGGACAATTGTTAGCTGCCATTGTGGGTGCTGGGAGTTGAACTCAGGTCTTCTGCAAGAGCAGGGAGTGCTCTTGACTGCTGAACCATCTCTCTAGCCCTTATAATTTTAAAGATTATGTAGCATTTTATTTTATGGATAGCCTATATTTTATTTACTTTTCTTACCGAATAATGACCATTTAGGCAGGTTTTAGTTTTTCATGATTAGAAATAGTTATGTAGCAGATGTGCTTAAAGTACTCACTTTCCAGTTTTTATTTCAAGGAACCAGCAGCACCTGCCATCCTGTTAGGATCTGCAGTTCTGTGCACCTGAGAGTGGGGACTACTTGCACTTGGGGTTCAGCAAGACACTATTTTGGGCTGGGGTTTCTTGCACTTGGGGTACAGCATCTGATTCTCCTTTTTTCATACTCGACCCATAAATTCTCTTACTTGTTTAATTTCTTAATAGGTGGGACCGAGGTACAAATCACCTACTGTTCAACATGTTGCCTGGAGGTCCCCCAGATTATAACACTGCCCTGGATGTCCCTAGGGACAGGTAAGCGTGTGGGGAGGCTGTCCCTGTGATGGGTGGCTGAGGAATAAGTAAATTAAGACCCTTTTGTTTCTGTGAAAATTATATTCTTGAACTACAGGGACATTTTATGAGCAGAATTGTTTATTAAACTAAAAAAAGGTCTTAGGCATTTTCCTCCTTAAGACATAGAAGTGTTGGACCTGCTTTATATGGCTGGGAAACTAGTTAGAGCTTGAGTTCTAGAACAGCTTCCAAGAAAGCCAACTGCTTAGTCTGGGCTAGCAGCTTAGTTCCAGATACAGCATCCCAAGACTGGGTAGTTCAGGTTAATGTGCCTACTTTCTCTGAATTCAGGGCCATTTGCTGAAGTAGCTTTGGAGGGAAAAGTGGGATGGATGTGTAAAGTGTCCCTAAGCCTGTATTATAAAGGCAGTGAGAGTGCTCTGTGCTCCTTTAATCAGTCAGGTTCTTCCCTCTCTCCCCTCCCCTTCCTTCCCACCCTCTTTCTCCTCCTTCCCACCCCTTTCTCCCCCCTCCCTCTCTTCTTTCTTCTCCATCCCCACCCCTACTTCTTCCTTGTTTCTTCCTTTCTCACAAAGCCTACCAAACGGGTAGAAGTGCATTGAGGTGGACTTGAGTCATGATTTTGACTGAGTTCACTCATTAGAGTTCCCTGCTCTTTGATGCACTGACTTTCACACTTTAGCCAGAGACTCTTGGAAATTTCCAGAATGAGCTGTTGCCCCTGGCACCTCTTTTCTTGCTTGGTTCATGGCTTTGAGGAAAGTAGAAAGCTTGGTGCATAGGTCAGGGTTCTGGACAGTATTCACGCTACAGGATTATTATGAGAGTGTGTATAGACAAGTTTATCCGGAAGTCTTATTAGAGCTGCTGATGAACTTGAGGTCAGTGTTACTGACTGGTCCCATCCTGAGGCTAGCCCTGTCCTCAGCCTGCCAAAGGCTAACACTTTCATCTGTGGAAATGTATACTCTGTCCTGTCTTCACCTAGAAGGTTGGATCCGAACCTTCTTTGCTTTGAGTGATTATCTTAAGTCAGGCCTGAGTTTTTGTCTGGAAATAGGATTATCAGTGGAAGACAACAAAATGGTGCAGACACCATTCTGGACGAGAGGGGGCAGTATGGTCACACAAGTGCTGCCAGCGCTGCCTGCTCAGGCTGATCCCTGCCTGCTGGACTCCTGGCTGGGCTTCTGCTTGTATAGACACCCACATAAAAGCAGAAATTTGTAAGAGGTGGGGGCATGGAAAGGATAGTAAAAGGCTAAGGTTGTAGAACTGAGAAAACTAACCTCAGTCAAACATTTAAGTGGTGTAATAAGCTCCCACTAAAGCTAGAATAATATGAGTTCCATGGGTGTGGACCAGGACACTGTCTGAGGCCCAGGCACTTATTGCTCCTCTGGGGGAGGGAGATGCATGAGAACAGAGCAGGGAAGGAAGGGGCTATCGGTGAGGTGTCTTTTCTGCCCTGGTGTGCTCTCAGAGGAGCTCTTTCTGTTGGGACATTTTACTTCCTGCCAGCATCTTGTTGTGTGCATCTACATGGGAGATGGGTTTTGTTTTTATTAAGTGCACATGTTAATTGTGGGAAGGTGCTAGACGGTCTGAAGGCTCTTTCGGGATCTAGAAGGTGAAATCATGTTTGATCTTGATTTTTGGGATATTTCACTGTGACTGTGGCCTTCTGCCAGGTGAGGAGTAGTAGATTTGCTTGTTAAATGATTTTTTCCCTTGTTCTTGCTCCTGAATTGGAAGATGTGTAGAATAATTGTATGGGAGCTTGTATGTGAGCTGAATGGCAGGCTTTCCAAAATTAGAAGGTAAGTGGACCAGATTAGAGCTCAGAAAGGTATCCTGAAGCCCAAGGTTACAGATACGATTATTCACACAGTGTATGTTCAGAGAATTGCAGGAACCTGGACTGAATTGGAATCAGGGCCCTCAGCATGCTAAGTAAGCACTCTACCCCTGAGCTATAGTCCCAGCCCCAAGGTCTTCCTGTTTCCCTTTGAACTTTTAAAACTGTCTGCATGTATGCAGTTTTTAAAAACATGATGCATACATACTTTGCATGGGAGTTTGAACTATGTAAAGAATAAAACTAGTCAGCTCTATTCCTCCCAATTGTACTCCTCAGTGACCCTCACTGTTAGAATATTATATTTATTTTGTTTCCTTTGCTGTGATAAAAATACCTTGGCAAAAGCAACTTTCAGGGAGAAAGGGTTTATTCAGATTGCATCATTGCAGGAAGACAGGAACTTGGCAGCAACTGGTCACATCCACAGTGAGAACAGAGAGAGAAAGTGAGCATGTACAAGTTCCCTCAGTTCACTTCTCTCACAGAATCCAGGACCCAAACCCAGGGGTGGTGCTACCCACTTTAGCCTGGGTCTTCGCACATCAGTTAACATAATCCACCCCCGAGACTTGCTCACAGGCCAGCCTGATATAAACAGTGTCTCACTGAGACTCCTCTCCCAGGTGATACTACATTGTGTCAAATTGACAGTTAAAACCAATCATCACAAATCTTGTTTTTCTAGACTTGTTTTTTATGAGTTTAGACACAAACATGCATACGCACCCTCATTTTAACTTTAGGAGGAGCATGTTAGACCTTTTTGATGCTTAACTAATGTTAATTTTGTTTGGTATGTCTTGGAATATTACTACCTTGGTTTTTTATTAGCCTTTTTTGCACATATATCTTAAATATTTCTGCTTTTATGTGGGTGTATATTTAATTATTTGAACATGTTATGGAAAACTTGAAACCTGTACAAGAGAAGAGAGGGTAGAAAGTGACCCCCAAACACCCACTGTTGACAACACTGCCGTCACCTTGAGGCCAGCCTTGTTTGGTTTGGTCTGTCTCCCCTCCCTCAATACCTAGAAGCAAGTCCCAGATGTTATATCATTTTATCTGTAGATACTTTGGTGTGAGTCTCTTTATGATATATACTAAAAATTGTAATTACTGGCTGGAGAGATGGCTCAGTGCTTAAGAGTGCTTATGTAAGCATGAAGACCAGAGTTCAGATCCCAGAACTCATGTAACAAGCTGGTGTCACATATGCCTATAATCCCAGCACTGAGGGGAACAAAAACAGGAGAATTGCTGGAACTCACTGACTGCTGGTCTAGCAGAAAAACTTGAGGTCCAAGTAGAGGCCCTGCCTCAAAAGAAAAAAAGCAGAAAGTGATAGAGAAGGCACTTGATGCCCTCTTTTGGCCTCTGTGTGTGAGCAAAAGTGCACGGACACGCACACGCACACACATACATGAATGTACACTGATCACACACATATAATAAATTAATTTAAAATGCATATTAAAATATTCAGAACAAGAGTAAATAAATCTATATTTTTAAAAGGATAAGAGGCTAGAGAGATGACTCAGTGGTTAAGAGCATTAGCTGCTCTTGCAGAGGACTCAGGTTTGGTTCCTAGCACCCATGTGGAGGCTGACAAACACCCATCCTTAATTCTGTGGTCCAGTGCCCTCTTCTGACCTTCATGGGCACCAGGCGTGCACGTGGTACATATACATATGTGCAGGCAAAACACTCATCATACACATAAAATAAAAATAATCTTTTTTAAAATTAAAAAAAATGATAAAAGCATAGCTGCAACACTATTATCATACCTAAAAATATTCACAGTACTTTTGTTGTTTTTGAGACAGTCTCCCCCCCCCCCCCCCCGCACGCTCTCTCTACTCCAGACTGGCTCCAAACTCTCAAAGTCCACCCTTAACCTTCAAGGGCTAAGATTATAGGGTATGCACTATTTTACTCTGTATAGCAATAATTCTTTAATATCTCCAAATATCTAGGCATTATTAAAATTTACCTGTCTCTGAAATGTTTTTGAGTTTTGTTTGACTCATAAACAAGCAGGAATGAGCAGCAAGATCAGCCAGTGTTTGTGGTTTTATTTTTGTTTTGTTTGTTACTAGCTTGATGTTGGACTTTCCTAGCCTGATTGCCTGGCCTGGTGAAGGAGAGCACAAGATAAACTCACAGGCTCTCTGTGCTTAGCACCGTGGATGCTCAGTAGCAGGAGGACTGTGAGCAGTCTGTGTGGATGGAGGTTGGGTGGGTGGAGGGTCTGAGGCTGCAGGAGAAACTCAGTGACAGGAGGCCTCACAGAGACAGAAACTCTGCAAGTGCACAGTGCCAGAGACCTCCAGTGATGGAGCACTTGGCCTGTCATCAGTAGGCTCGTCACACTTGGACTTTATTGCCCACAAGTTTTCTATTCAGTCTCTTGTGGAAATGAGCTCTGATTTGATGAGAAAACAGAACATGCTTCTCAGACTCACTTTGCAGTCAATGTGAAACATATACTATGTAAAGCAGGGATGCTTAGATGCCCCTTCTCCTCTGCAGTGCCATGTGAAGTCGAAGAAGAGGCTGGGACTTACAGTTGAGGATGGTCACTATAGGGTGGTGTGAGGAGAGCTGGACCATCTGCGGTCCTGGCTCTTTCTGAGATTGCAATCAGAGATTGTGTGTGCGTGTGTGTGTGTGTGTGTGTGTGTGTGTGTGTGTGTTCCCTGACACAGGCACACCTCAGACACAAGCTTTCTGCTGCCTCCCCATGACATCTGCCTCACCCCCTGGAACGCAGTAACAAGTTCAAGGCCACAGGGACAGAATAACAGAATAGCAGAGACGGTCAATATGATGTACACCTGTTTCCTTTCTCTCCACATGCACTCACCCCTTTCCTGTGGGACTGGGGTGACAGACTAATCACCCACAAATGCTGACTTACCTGGACTGCCTGATGCCAGTCTATAGGGTACTTCTCTGCACAGAGGCTCCAGGCCCTGCATGGTCTGCTCACCATCATGGCCATGGAACCCACCCAAGTTCACATTGAATGCATTCAGTGTCGCATGCTAATCAGGAAAAAAAAAATCAAACTGTATGTTGGTACTGAGTATACTCCTTACATTTTCAAAGTAGACTGGCAGCTGGTGAGGTTTTGAGCCTGCACCTTTCCTCACTCACCAATTCTCGGTTTTAGGAACTTAAACAAACAGAGTGGGATTTCCAGAAGTGGTTTGAACATCTTTGAACTTGAACTGGTCGTGTTAGAAGGGATTGTAAGTTGTCATCAGGGTGGGGAGGGGATTGGTAGCAATCAGCTTTGAAAAACAAATGTGGTTTCTCAGTTCAGACATTGTGGCTCAGACTCTGCAGTGTGTACAACTGTCAAAATTGCCCTAGAAAGTACTTTGGATGGGTTTGGGGCCCTGGGACAGAAGAACAGCCAAAGGCGCTGTGACCCACACCTGTTTGCTTTCTGCCATGCGGTGCCTTTATAGTACTTGCTGGATCCAATTAAAACAGTGTGGTCAGTGTTTTCTAATTAGGGAGAATGAAAGTTCATGCCTGCAGACTGCAGGAGAGGGGCTAACGCTGCATCCCTCAATTCTGCTTCCTGAACAGGGAATGGGGTTCCTCCTTCAGGAATGGGGTTAATAAGGCCCAGTGGCTAGGATGGTCAGTGGGAGCTGGCAGAGGCTGTGTGATTGACATGGAGCTCCAGGAAGTCAGGAAGAACTGCTCAGGCAGACGCTGGGGCAAGTGTGATGTGAGATGCCATACGGCTGCCTCTGCTGTTCTTGTCTGTGGTCTCCTGAGATTCCAGACAAACGGTGAGAAGTGACTGCCCAGCCCATCTTCCTGCAGACCCAATGGTACTCCTCTTGTGTTAAGAATAAAGTATGGCACAAGAGGGAGACTAGGGGATCTGAAGGAGGTAGTCCAGAGGCTGTTTGGAGTGTCTCTGGGTCTATTACGTCTTTAGATAAATAGAAGGTGGGCCGACAAGGTGACATAGCAGGTAAGGGTGCTTGCCGCCAAGCCTAATGACCTGAGTCAGTTCTATCCCTGGGACCCACGTGGTGGATTGACAGAACCAACTCCTGCAAGTTGTCCTCTGACCTCCATATGTGTGCTCTGGCACATATATGTACACTGGAGCACAACACATAAATAAACAATTAATTAAAATAAAAATGTAACAAAAAATCTTTTAAAATGGAAAGTAAAGAAAGCAGTTAGGTCGCCAGGGAAGGCTGGTGATTGGGAGGGAAGCAGCTGATGCCTAGAGATGTTGGAGTGTAGACCTCTAGCACAGGGATTCTGTAACATTGTGTATTGTTATTAAGTCACAGTCATGGCCATCCCTTCCCATGGTGTTTACCAGAATGAAAACCTTCTTTCTCAGTGATTGACACAGTCCTTTCTTTTCAGGGCACTGTTGGCCGGCGGTGGCTTTTCTACATGGACCTACAGGCAAGGCTATGATGTCAGCATTCCTGTTTATAGTCCCCTGTCAGCTGAGGTGGCTCTTCCAGAGAAAGCTCCAGGGTAAGGTCTTTAGCATACCCATAGCCCAGAATTTGTGGGGTGATGGTGAGGCTCAGCATGGGGGTATCCCAGTAAGCAAGGCATCAGCTTCAGGCCAGAGTCCTCTTGTGTGCTGGCCCATCCCTCCCCATCTCCTACAGCTTTCAGTGTCTTAGGAAGCTCCTGGGGCTGTTTGTCAAGTTTCCTGAAGCAGAAACCTTTGACATCCTTAACCCCTTCCTCTCCTTTGCTTCACAGGAAATAACAGGACCTGCTGTGTTGGAAATATCCCTTAGACCTGTCCACTCTTGTCTCCCTTTTTTCTGCCCTGTACTAGCCTGCCTCCATCTTCTTTTGGGCAGTTGAGCAGTGTCCTGATTGGCGTCCCTGCCTCTTTGTCTTGCTACCCTCCAGCCTGGCCCCAACCCTTCCAATGCCTTCAGGATAAAGCCTCACCCCCTGATGCCTGTTAGGGCATCTGCTGTCTGTCCACTGTGTCCCTTGCCAGCTTTCTCTCTGGAGACTTTTCCCCTTCAGTTTTTAGAATACCTTTCTCCCGATTTTTCTGGGCTGCAAACATACTTGCCATTGCTTAGAAATCTCGTGTGTGTGTGTGTGTGTCTGTGTGGGTGTTGTGTATGTGTGTGATGTGTGTGCATGTGCATTTGCATATGCATGTGGAAGATCAAGGTGAACCTCAGGTATTTTTCCTTGATTACTGTGCTGGATAGCTTTAGTGTCAACTTGACACACCTGGGTTGAGGGAGCCTCAATTGGGGAATTTCCTCTATTGGACTGGCCTGTGGCCATGTCTGAGGGGCATCTTCTTGATGAGTGATGTGGGCAGGCCCAGCCCACTGTGGGTGGTGCCACCCCTGGGCAGGTGGGCCTGTGCTGTATAAAAAAGCAGGCTGAGCAGGGGCCAGGGGAGCAAGCCAGTAAGCAGCATTCCTCCATGGCCTGCGCTCCAGCTCCTGCTTCCAGGTTCCTGCCCTGAGTTCCTACCTTGGGCTCCCTGATGAACTGTGACCTGGGAGATGTAAGCTGAATAAACCCTTTCCTCCCCAAGTTGGTAGTGGTCAGAGTATTTTGTCATAGCAATGAAGAAACAAACCAGGACAATTACTGTCTACCATTTTGTTTTTTGAGACCGTTTTCTCACTGAACCTGAAGCTCATCAATTTGATCAGGTTGACTGGCAGTGAATTTCAAGGATTCACCTATTTTCACCCCTCAGGCCCCATCAATGTTGGAGTTCTAGGCACTTGCCATGGTGCTTGGCTTTTTGTGTGGGTTCTGGGGATCTGAACTCAGATCATAGTGTTTGTGTGGCAGGTAAATTGGTATCCTTGTCATTCTGTTGTCCTGTGTACCCTTTAGGTTTCAAACTGTACCGCCCTGGACCATATCTCTACATTATGATCCCACAGCCGGTTTCCTGTCCCCCAGGGTGACACTTATGCTCTAGTGTCACAACTCGCACAAAGCCTGCCTTTGGATTTTGTCAGTGCAGTGAAGTGGAGGCCAGATCTGCTTTTTAACTGCTCTGGTGGGTCTGCCTCTAGTTGGCATGTTTTCACATGTGGGCTAGAAAAGGTCTGGTAATGTGGGCATGGTAGGCCTTTGTCTAACTTTCTTTACTGGAAACTGAAAGTTATTCTGTTTCATGGTGAGAGCTCAGTGAGCTTTAAACAGGCACTGGGATGACAATGAGTGTCTGAAATCAGGATGCTGTAATGTCATACCAGGTGACATTTAACTTGCTCACACTGGTGGGAGAAATGAGTCTCAATGAGGTAGTTTGCTTGGCGAACATTCAACCTATTTTCTGGTCATGCCAGGCTTCCCTTAGAAGCCCTGTGGACTCTGAGGAGCCAGGGAACTCTCCCCAAGAGAAAACAACGCCTCTGGTGTGTGCCCCACCTTGTGGCTAAAGCCACCCTGAAACTTCTGGACTCTGCAAGAGCCCAGGGCAGCTCCAGATATTGTTTCCTTCACCTCCAGTCAGGCGCAAAGGAAGACTGAGCAGTCTGCACACAGTAGCACCTGAGATCACCACCTTGGTGTTTCTTCCTCATATGCTCCCAGAGTTGGCCTGCTTTACTACTTTGTAAACGGAAATTAATTCATAAACTCTGTAGTCAGTGTTTTAAAGTGTAAAACCCAGTGGGGTTTTTGTTGTTATTTATTCAGAGTTGGGAAGCTATCATCAACACTACCATTCATTCTAGAACATTTTTTGTGACTCCCCAAATATAATCAGTAGCTATTAGCAGTCATTTCTTTTTTTTTAAAAAAAATTTATTTTATGTGTTATGAGTGTTATACATGAAAATCACAGTTATTTCCAAGTTGTAGCTGTACTAAGCGATGTTGCTGTGCTGTTTTCATGTGCAAGTTTTTGTGAAAATCTGTGTTTTCAATTCTCTTGGCTTTATAGCCAGGACTGGAATTGCTGGGCCATGTGGTAACTCTGTGTAACTTTCAGAGGAACTGCCAGGCCATTTTCCAAAGTGACTGCAACATTGTGCATACCAGGCAACAGTGTATAAGGTTTCCCTTCCTCCTGTCTTTGCCAGCACTGTTGTCTGTGATTTGATTCTAGCCACTCTAGAGCCTGTGACCTCCTGTCTCACTGTTGTTTCGATTTGCATTTCCCTAATGACTAAGGAGATTGGATATCTTTTTGTGTACTTATTGGTCATTTATATAACTACTTTGGAGAAATGCCTGTTCACATTATTTGCCCATTTTTAAATTGAATTGTCTTCTGTAGGATTTGACATTTTGTGTAGTCCAGACACTAGGACCTCATTGGGTATTGAGTATATGATTTGCACATATTTTCTCCCATTCTATAGGTTGCTTTTCACTTTTTTTCTTTTCTTTTTTTCTTTGAAACAGGATCTCCCTGTAGCCTCAGCTGGCCTGGAACTCATATGTAGACCAGGCTGGCCTGGTCTACCTGCCTCTGCCTCCTGAGTGCTGAGATGAATGGTGTGTGCTACTACACCCACTGCTTTTCACTTTCTTGATAGTGTCTTTTGAGGTACAAAAGTTCCTAGTTTCAATGAAATGTAATTTATCTGTGTATGTACTATATGTCTGTACATGTTCATGTGCACACTGTGTGTGTGTGTGTGTGTGTGTGTGTGTGTGTGTGTAGGACAGAGGTCAGTGCCATATCTTTCTATATTGCTCCTTACCTTATATTCTGAGACAGGGGCTTTCCCTTAACCCAGAGCTTGTCAGTTTATCTAGGCTGCCTCTCCAGCCCTGGGATTATAGGCATACACCACCACAACCAGCTGTTTTGGCATGGGTGCTGGCTGGGTGTTGAACTCAGGTCTGTCCTCATGCTTGCATGGCAGGCACTTTACTGACTGGCAGTCTCTCCACCTTGTAATTTATCTGATGTTTGCATTGGTTGTTTAAACTTTTGGCATAAATCTCAACATTTGGGAAACTATTGCCTAGTCCAGGGTTCTGTGGATTTACATTTAGGTTTTCTTCTAAGAGTTTTTACAGTTTTAGGTCTGTGATTTGTTTCAAGGTACTCTTGGTGCATTGTGTGAGGGAGGGGTCCCGATTCATTCTTTTGTTGTTCCAGTACCGCTTGCTGAGGAGCTTTGTTCTCATTGAACGGTGTTGGCACCCGTGTTCAAACTCAACTGGCCATAAAAGAAGAGTTTATTTTTGGATTCTCAATCCTGATCTATGGATATGGTCCACATATCAGTCTTTAGGGAAATGCCACACTGGCTGGATTATTATACCTTTGTAGTAGGTTTTGAAGTAAATGTGAGTTCCCCAACTTTGTGATATTTTCTGGCTACTTGAAGTCCCTTGCATTTTAATTATTTTTGTTACACTGTAACTTAAATAAATATAATTCAAAAGCATTCTAATCTCTAGGTGCTTATATAGCTGTGTAGTTAAAATGGTTTAGAAGATAGGGACTAATGTGTCTACAAAACCAAGAGATGTCATATCTGTCTTTTAACATGATAGATGAGGGTGTTTCTTTGAAGTGGAATTCTGTCCTTTAAGGTGAATATGGAATTAATATAGGGTTCATTGGCTTGGTGAGCCTGTGTGGCTGTAGTTGAGTGATAATGTACTCTGCTTTGCCGAGGTTTCTGTTTGAACCACTAGGAAGCTTTTCCTTGACATAGCATATTGTGACATCATTTATCTTCATTTGATACAAATGCATGATTCATGTTTCCCCTAACATTTATTATAAAAATCTCCAAGCAGACAGCAAAAGCTTAAAAATTTAAGGCTGCTGGTGTAGCTCAGCATGCTTACTTGATGTGCATAAAACTATGGGTTTTGTCCCTTGCATCACATGAACTGAGCATAGTGGTGCATGAAGAGAAGATGATCAGCAGTTAAGGTCATCCTCAGCTATTTAGCAAGTTGGAGACCATTCTGGGTTACCTGGAACCCTGTCTCAAAAAATTCTTTTTGGGGGCTGGAGAGATGGCTCATCAGTTAAGAGCACTGACTGCTCTTGCAGAGGACCTGGGTTCAATTCCCAGCACCTACATGGCAGCTAACAACCATCTATAACTCCAGTTCCAGGGGATCAACCTCCCTCTTCTGAACTCTGCAGGCATTGCACGACCTGGGTGCACTTAACATGTACATAGGCAATACACTCATGCATAAAAAATAAAAATAATAAGATACTTTAAAAAAATTCTTTTTTACAGTGAACATAATGTTTACCCATGAGCTAGATACTACTCTGCATTTTGAAAAGATTTATTTTTATTATTTTTAATTATGTGTACGAGTGTGTGTGTGTGTGTGTGTGTGTGTGTGTATGTGTCTGTGTGTGTAGGTATGTGCATGCAAGTGCAGCTGCCCATGGGAGGCCAGAAAAAGGCATCTGATCCCCTGGTGCTAGAGTTGTGATTGTGAACTGCCCAGTGTGTGTGTGGAAACTGCAATCTGGTCCTCTGCAAGAGCATCAGACATTCTTTAACTACTGAGCCATCTCTTTAGCCTCCTGC